CTTATTATGTAAGCAGATACATATTTAGATACCGACGACCCCTCAAAAATGTTGATGACGTTTAGGAGTTATATCGAACTCAAGTATTGAAAATTACATAATCATATAGGACAGATATTTTTTTGGCTATAGAATTTTGTATTATGAGAAGCTTACATAATAATTAATTTTTGCATATTTGTTCATTATCCGTTCATTTTTTAAGATCCAATAAATTGTATATATTAGACAAAATAGTAGCCAATCATTCATTTTATGGAATATATAAAAGAAATCACCAACATTTGTTGTGCTCATTCGATTCATAGGGTCCTCTTCTAAAATGTTTTTCGGCAATATTATAAAACAATAAAATTATGAAAATATGCTATTATTTTTCATTATGTCTTCATAGCTTTTGTGAGAGGCAGCGTAACGTCAACATCAGAGTGGACGACGTTAATGGTTTTCGTCTAGTTCCACAGATAAACAGACTTGGGCAACCAGTCAGCCAACCGACTAAAATAAACAAAAACCTGAGGGTGGGAGAGAGAGAGACAAGAACACAATAACACTTTTACAAGGTCATCCCTTCATGGCCCTTTCGTCCACAGATTCGGAAAGTACTCCTCGAGACCTTTCATTTGTGCCCAGCCTCGACACCGCTTCATTTTTAGTTTCTGTTCTGTGGACGCTTTTATCTGCAATTTCCCTAAAAATGAGCGATAATTCTTCAGAAAATGCAAAAAATTCCTAAGTCTGAAATTCTTTTTGACTATAAGGTCTACAGATTCGGAAAGTACTCCTCGAGACCTTTCATTTGTACCCAGCCTCGGCACCGCTTAATTTTTTTAATATTTTATTATCGGTTTAAATGTAGAGTTAAGGGTTTCAAAGTTTTTCAATGTAAATTTTAATTAGGTTTTTATTTAGCGATTTCATTTTACATTTGAAATTTGTACGGAAAATTATGAAATTTGATGAAAACTAATATAATTTATGTGTTTGTTTTCTCTTTCGAGACGAGCTTAATGATCTGAAATTTGCAGTGAAAAGGAAAGAAAAGGAAAATTTAATTTACCTTTAATTTTTCTCTGGTTTACTACTCCCTCTCTCTCTCTCTCTCTCTCTCTCTCTCTCTCTTTATTAACCCTTTGCGAACCGGAGAAAAAATCACCTTGGTTTGTGTCTTTGCTAATTAAATTTAAATTTATCTTGACGGACATCCGTTATATGGGGGCTATACGATGGTCTGGACCTGTATGGACAATTTTCTGTCATAGTCTGTTGTACCCATTAGGAACTTTAGGAACAAATACAAAATTTAAAACAATTCAGGTGAATGATGTCGCTGAAATCAGCAAAACACCGAACAAAGCGAGGTACCGATGTTTAGGTGGTATACGAAAACCTGGACCTTTGGCAATTTTCTGCTACAGGCTGTAGTACCCGTTATGAACTGCTAGTACGAAATTTGAAACAATTCTGGTGAATAATGTTGCTGAAATCAGAAAAATACCGAAAATAATGAGGTACATTTGTATGGGGCTACAGATAAACGTGGACCTATATAGCTCATTTACAATACCAAAAGTCCTGCAGATAAAACACACAACTGAGTAAAATATTGTCAAACAAATTCAATTCGTTAGGAAGGTAGAGTGATTTTCACAGAGGGACATCGTTAAATCGACATAAAATTTTATGCTGATTAAGAGTTGTAGTTGTATTTTCTAAAATCTTTATTTCGAGGTGTTGTAAACGGAATGACAATCTTTATTTACCCTCCATACTGTGGTGGATGGTATAAAACTAATCGAAGCATTTCAGATGTAATTCGAGAGTTACATTTATTATTTAAATTTTTACATTTGTAAGTCGGATGATTCTATTTTGGAATTGTTATTCGAAATATCTAATTTGTGATACAAATTATTCCAATAAGTAATTCGTTGTTCTTACAAATAAAAACTAACAAATAGTAATAAATGGAATGACCGCGTGAATATGCCGCCCATTCTACAGTGTAGCGTATAAAAATAGAGAAACTGTTACACAGGTGTGAACCTGTTTCAGTTTATACGACGCACCAAACGTCATCGAATTTTTCTCAACCGTAAAATAAAAACATGTGAAATGACAATAAAAAGGTTTTGTGGTTGTTGTGTTTTTTTTTTTTCTATTGACAACTTCTAATTGAAAATAAAACTGTTTTGAAAACATAGGTAACGAGCCAAATCATAGAAAAATTACTCAAATAGTTTTGTCATAGCTATTTAAAACGGGTTTTTATTTCAATGTTTGTATACGGTGTGACACAAGTTCCTGTAGATTAGAAAAACTTTTCAAAATTTGTACCTTTACATACATATATATATATATGCTCGATCACAAAGTATGTATACATTCTCGCTAAATGAAAACCAAGTGTCTGGCAAGATGTTGAAAGAAAGGGAGCAAATAAAATAGCTTAAACTGGAAAATTCCACAATGAAGGAGCCAAACCAAACAGAGGGTCTTTACTTACAGATTGTGTATTCAAATGTTATTAAATTTGTTTCGAAAATGTAAATTAACATTCAAACGATGAATGATTTTTGGACCCGTGATACAACCATTACAAGGTAAGGCAGTTTGATTAAATTTGAAAAACACAGCTCGAACGCTACATGTCCGTCCGTCTGTCCAGAACATGTCCGTCCGTCTGTCCAGATGAAATTTTACATTTGATTGACCCAAGGACAAACTCTATTGAAATTGGAGATAATCGGTCAAAATTTATATATAGCTCCCATATATATCTTTGTCCGATTTGCTTTTATTGTGCTCTTACCGCGTAATATCAGCTCAAATAGTATGATATTTTGCATATACAACCAAATTAAGCCTAGAAATAAGTATTGGAATCGGTTCAGCTATAGCAATAGCTCCCACATATATTGTTCATCCGATTTGATATTTTTGTCCTCTGCAGACATAATATACACTCTGTAACAACGATATTTGGGGAAATATATCAAATACAGCACAAATCCCAAATCTTATCGAGATCGGCTCAGATTTGGATATAGCTCCAGTGTATATCTTCGTCCGATTTGCCTTTTATTTTGCACCAAACGTGTAATATTAGCCCAAATTGGATGGAATTTGGCACTTGCGGCCAAATTGAGCGTAGAAACATGTATGTCAAATAAAGCTCTACTAAATATTCAAAGGGGTGTAGTGTATCATAAAGTCGGCCCCTGTACTACCTATTCCTTCTAGTACTTCCCCCGCAAAGGGTCAACATTTTTAATAATCATAACTCTAAGAGCCCAGCTATCTTCAAATGTCGCACATCCCCATATTTATATCAACAGAAGATCTTGTATGAAAATGGGATAACTATGTTTTTGGTATCTCCCCCGCAAAGGGGAATAATTCTTTTCAAACTTCGCACATCCACATACATCAAAAAACACAGTATCTGATTGTAAGCTGCGATATTGGGCAAAGTTTCAAAATTTTGAATAATTTAACGCCCATTTTGAATTTCGTACACTTTCGTTAATTGTACACTTTTAATGCTGAAGATGAAGGAGGACATCCTAATAGAAACAAGTTGTTTGTAAAAGTCCGCCTTTTGAAACAAATTTAAAAAGGAAAAATAACTTATAAATTATTGGTGGATGCACATTCATGGGAGCTCTTAATCATTACTTTTATTGATATATATATTTTCAATTCCTCCCAGCGAATTTCCGATATCATAACAAGAAAGTTTGTCCTAGAACAAACCTGTAAGTAAAGATTAACAATTACGTAGATTTTGTTGCACAGTGTCATTGCAAACTATTAGATGAGTACTTGGCACAGCGGTTTTTTTGTTAACGTAATCGAGCTACACAGCTAGACGCACGACGTCAGGTGAGTGTGAGAAAAACACCCAAACACGTTTTACTATGACTCGATGTGATTCAAATCAAAAGTTAAAAGTCACATTTGAATTGTGAATTTATAATTAATGGAATTCAACAAGACAATGTTCGAAATACAAAAATAAAATTCCTCGTCATAAACAAGATAGACGATAGACGGCACTAAGTATCAGCGCAGAAACTTCGGATTACTGAGCAATAGTCACACTTGGGATCTCAATGTCGTGTATTGAAAATTTACAATATTGCTTTACACATCTCTGGCGTTGGCCATTAACTTGGTTTTCCCAACACACATTCCAATTCGGACTACACGGATGCGGCGGATATCAAGTTGAATGCATGTAAATGCACTTTAGTAATGGAACAGCGTCTCTGAACTTGACAATCGTCAAATAAAAAACCCAAAAAATTCTCCATCGTTGGACGCTCCCCACGTGACTGCGTTTTTATTTTATTTTTGTTTTTGCAATGAACGTACTAGTAGTTAGCACTTTTTCATTTAATTGTAACGTATGTCACAGACCCTAATTTCGCCTCGCCATTATTCTCAAGTCGTTTATCATTTTTGTTTTGTTTTCATGTTTCATAAAAGCCGTTGGTGGCAATTTGTTAATGGAAATAAAAAACAGATTAGACGCTCATTAGACAGCGTTCTGGCTGATAACTGGCGTAGTGGAATGTTTGCGATAAGAAATATGCCAACAAAAGTGCTCTCGATAATGTCGAATAACCCCTTTTGCCATTGAAAAAGGTCTGAAAGAGTAAACAAACAAAACAAATGCCTATGCGAGCGGAATAAATTAAAATAAAAACATAATGTATGTCTTTTATACTCCCACCACCCGCACCGGCATGTTCGGTTTCCCAATGTTAGATTCGGTAAATTGATCGAGTTAAAAGGGGAACCTTTAACAAAGCCTTAATCGACATCTTCTGCCTTCCCTGTCTGCCAATACGTATGTATGTGAATATGTTTCGCTATAAAGAATGTAACCCAAACTGTCCCCTTTTCGTTCATATGTAGGGCGTATGTATGTATCTCATAAACACATACAAGTACCTATGCAGATTCGTTGCTATCAATTCTTAATTCAAACTTACCGATTAACATTTTGTATCAGACGCTTGTTATCCAATGCCTTTGGTGATGGCGATGACGAGCTGTTAATTGCTCCACCTCCTCCTACTCCACGCACCTCGGGTGATTGGGATTTTGATATTTTGCTAATGCTAGACGTATTATTGCGATTCAAATTATTGGTTGGAGATCGGCGTACAGTTGGCGAAATACTCGTCGACGAACCGGAACCGTTTCCGGCATTTTGGCCGCGACTACCGTCACCACCCACCACCGATATTCGGGTCGACACTTTGGATTTCACATCACTGTAATTCTTTCTAACGTGAGCTTTGTTGTTGGCGATTTGATTCATAACGGCATCCCATTTGTTGGGCGAGTGATGATATTTTCGCACTGCGGGCGGCGAGTTGTGTTTGGCGGCCCCACTGCCGCCACTGTTGAGCGACTGCTTAAAAGATTTGGCACTTTTTGGTGTCGCGGTTGTTGTTATTGTTGCTTTCGAGCGCGGAGTGTACTTGCCCGGCGAGCATTGATTTGCGGTTTTCGTTTGTTTTTTGCCAACATTAGGGGAGGAGTTGACGGAGCGGTTGGACGCATTCGAGTGCGTCGTAGTAGCACATGAAAACGATCGATCCGAGTCTGTTATGGACTGAGCACTTGACTGACAATTCACGAATGCCGGCGATGTTGTTGTGTGTTCCGCACTGCAGAGCGACGTTAACGACGAGTGTTGTTTGCGCGGCGAAGTTATGTTCTGAACTGCCGTCAAGTGCTTGTGGGTCGGTGGTTGCTCACACCACGAAGTTGTGGATGTTGTGGAGCTTTTCATGAGTTTAACCGACATGTGTTTGCGATTGTTCTCGTCACCGTCGAAAGCTTCGTCGAGAGAGGAGAAACTTTTGAATTCCACAGCACCGTTGGCCCCAACTATGCTACTACCACCACCGCCGCCATCCACACTGCAGTACGATGTGCGATTGGAGAGTGTTGCGGCCGAGAGGCGATCAGTGCTCATGCTGCTTTGGATGGTGGAAGATGTTTGACTGCTACTCAGATGACCTTGACCATGAGAATGGACTGAGGTGGTTGATGTGCTGGTAGTTATTTTGTCGCTGCCTCCATGCAGCTGCTGCTGTTGTTGCAATCTTTTGGAAGATTCGCGGTTGCTCCGGACTGTTTCCGTGGAATCGGCGTCGCATTCCAGATCGGGTGAAAGATCTTGTGTTTCGTCGTGGGTACTTTGGCGCCTGATATGGGCTAGGTCTTCGTCGCCACGATTTTCAACGTCGGTAAAAATGCCCGACGACTCCATGCATGAGTCCTCCATTTGAGGATCTTCCGAAATGAAGACGGACGCGGAGGGCTGTAGCATGGGCCCGTAAAGTTGGCCATCAATAACTTGGGCCCGACGATCACCACGATGGAAAATATCGTCTGCATCAGATTCGGTGAAGAAGTCGGAATCTGTCATGGGATCTTGTCGCCGCACTGGCACTTGGCCATGGCCTTGCTGTTGGTTAAAGCTGGGCTGGCGAGATACTCCCTTCCGCAAGGGACCATTGGAAGGCGAATGATCACAAGCACCCCTTGATGCAGGTCGTGACATTTCACCGTCTCCCTGATAGCCCGTGTCCAGACTCGTTACGCTTGTGACACTCGTAATGAAGCTGGTGGAAATTTTGGAAACTGTTGATTTGGTAATGGACTCGCTCTTAGACGGCTCGGTTTCCGAAAGCAAGGACAAGGATTCCGTGCATTGATTTTGTGAGGGATTTGACTCCTCGGCCGAAAGTGGCTGCAGCTGCTGCTGTTGTTGCAGCTGGTATTGGTGTTGCTGATGTTGCAGCACCATTTCATTGATGTCAGTCTTTACCTCAACTGGGTCCAGCGGCAGTTCTTCAGGCGACGGCGTTTGGTCGATGCGCATCTGATGCATGGCCAACTTGTGGCTGAAACTATTCGAAACATTAAGCATCAGAGGAATGTCTAAATTATTGTTGGTGTTGTTGGTGGCAGTCGAATCGAGAAATTCTTTCATTTGATCGGGTGTGAGTATTCCCAGACTTTCGTCCATGTCAAATGAGTTCTGTTTCTTAAGTAATTGTTGCGAGGATATCGAAGTGCTTAGATTATTGGCGGTGTTATTACTTGGATGCGACAGAGCGGTGGACGAGAGCGAAACATCTACTAGCTCTATGGAACAGTCCAGAGTGGATTCCGTGAGGTCCAGCCCAAACGAGAAACGACCTTTTTGGTTGCCACTGGGATTGTTAACGTCTTGCAAAGACGTTGCCGACGGCTGGTTTTGAGTCTGCTGAAAGAATTCTTCAGTTTTTCCAGCCACAGCTATCATTGTACTGTCCACATCCATGGGTTCTTCGGGACTTTCCTCGTCTGGGGTTCGCGTAGGCAGTACTAAATCACTTTGGGCCTGCTTCAGCTTCAGAGGCGACAGCAGGTGGTGGGGTATGGGTGTTAGTTGATATAGTGGGTTAATCATTTTTTTACCGTTGCGATCAGGGGTTGTGGTGCAAGATGATGACACGTGGGTCATATAAAGTAATTGAGAGGTGTTCTTGTTATTCACAACATTTGGGGTGTCCATGTAGTCTTTGGTCAAGTTGAGCAATTGCATGTGTTTTGCTGGCGTAGTCATATTCTGTGTCAAGTCCAATAAGCGTTCTGTGTTCATTGTTGAGTTCAGTGGTAATTTCATGGTGGCCTTATCGGGCGCCAGCGCCTTTAATGTGTCATCTAAATTATTATTGGTCAATTCCAAAAGATCCCCGTTATTCAATTTGGCCAATAAGTTGGCTTTGACATCCATGTCGACGGCTTCTTCAAATCCGGATGGTATGGAAACGTCATCGAGAAGTAATAGGTTTTCTGTAGATCCTGGATTGGAGTATGTGGCATTAGAAGCGGGTGTGCGAGACCCAGTCTCGTCCATATTCTTGAGAGCACCCTCTATAGGTTGATTGGTAATTACATCAATCTGCTCGTGGTCTTCCAACGTTATGGTTTTGTTCTTGGAATTGGAGTCGTTATTGGGAGATGTCATTGCCTCATTTTTACCGTGATCAATTACATGTTCTGAATTTGTCGGTACTTGGTTCAAATCTTCAATGCTATGGGTTCTATTTAGCGTTCGTGTTGCATTAGGCTTCGACAACACCTGTGTAGCATCGTCCACCTTGTCATTGTTTCTATCGGTCGAATGTCTTGTCAGTTCCAAGTTGATTGTTTGGCCGAAACCAGCGTTTGACATACGGGTGCTGCTTCTTGGAGATTCAATATCCATAGTATGACCGAAACCCATTGTGGATAATCGCGTGCTTTCAAAGTTATGCTTCCGTTGCACTTGACCCGATGGTAGAGGTGCACTGAATGTGCAGTCGAAAGTTTCGGTTACGTGCAACCCGTGATTGTTTGTCGAACTTATAAGGGGAGTGCTCTCGAATATAGCCCTTCGACCATCTCCACCAATGACCGGCATCGGTGTTGCATCCGGACTATCTGTGCGTACAAATGTGTCCGAGCGTGTAAGAGGCTTGGGAGTGTTTTCAATAGTCATAGTTTCATTTTGAATGGTTTTTGGCCCGGTCTTGTTCTCTTTTCGCAGTGGCGTTTGTGCAGCTTCCGACGGTTTTGTGAAGAATTTTTTCAAAACTGTCGACGTTTTCTTGCTGACCAAATTCATTGTTGAATTTATTGAATTTATCCGATCGCCCGAAGATGATTTCTTTAGAGCTAACGATGGCGTTGTTGGTGGCCGGAGGCCGCTAAAGGACATGGGCCGAGTTTTGGTAAACGTTGAGGGGGCTCTCAGTTGTGAGGGTCGCAGCAAAGGCATAACGGATGGTGGTCGAATTAGTCCAGGCAGCGGAATACGGGATACGCCTGGCATTGGTAATCGCGATTGTGTTGGTTCCTAAAATGAAAATGAATAGACAGTAGGTTTCAATCGTCGGTCATAGTAACCAGCAACAACAAAATCAAGTAATTATAATGAGAATAACTACGAAAACCCTTAGATATAACATTTTCTAAAAGAGTATTTCAAAAAATACAATTTCGAAAAAAACCATTAAAAATTGCCGTTTAAAATTTGAATTAAAATTACTATTACACAAAAAGTGATATAACTACATGAGCAATTGTTTGCAAGGAGGTCACCAGAAGTGGGATTCTATAACTCTTTTTGCCGTAACCGACCAAAACAGGTAAGTGTCAAACGCAAAAAGTGAATGTGAAAAGTGATCTAAAAAAAATTCTAACCCAAACATACCACTCACTGAGTGTACGTCTTGAAAAAATACTAATAATGTACGCACAATTCGATACACGATTCGATAATCGTATGTATAAATCTACTAGAAAATCATCGCCGTAACTACAAAACTAATACAGTATTTTCGATTTGCCTGCATTATGCATACCTGTTATTGCATTTTAGTGCACATTCTATAGCTGCACTCTAGACATAACTGCATTAAAAACTGGACGGCTTTGATGGATATGAAATGTGGTTTTTTTTGTATTTTTTCTAATCCCGCGAATGAGTCATAGAAATATATAAGAAGTTTAACATAGAAGACTGATTTTTAATATTTTGATTTGTTTCTACGAAACTAATAACTTAAATGACAAACCTTCATCTGCTTCTGATCTCTTAAATTTATCTGCAGCTTTTTTACTTCTTTTTCACGTAAGAAAGCGACATTTGTTACGATTTTTTGATTAAAATTGCAATTGTGAACAAAGACGCGATGCTATTGAAGACGTACATACTCAAATACATGCATTATTTACTACTTATGTATGTTTGTTTTACTAAGTTTTTCCGTATAAAAGTCGAAGCCGTACACATCCCTTTGCTGTGATTAACCTTGGATTTTTTTCCAGCATCAATGTGTACGTGGTGATTCTACAGCATCATTGAAGGCGAATCAGTGAAACAGTTCGTTACAAAAGTACCTTCGACAGGATGTTCTTTATATATGCCATTGCATAGATTGTTTTAGTATGTCAGCAAATATTTGCGTAAGAAGGAATACTACATTTTTGTGAACTGCACCAAAATTAACTTTTTTTGCAATTGTAATCTACATAAAATTCCTAATAACTTAGCCTGCATCTCTAAAGGAAAGATAATGGTTCGACTTGTCTCGCCATTGGATTAAAAAATGTTTTTTTTTTAATTTTACTCACCGAACCTACAATTGTATATACGAACTACATATTTATATACACTGGTGGCCAAAACTAAAGCAACTTAAATCGCAAAGACAATAAATGTCCTGTAACTTTTACAAAAATAAACAAATCGTAATTATTTTTCCAGTTTTAAATGAGGGGTTTAATTCACTTTCAAGAAACTAAAAATAAAAATACAAAAATAAGTTTGAACGAAAAATAATATGTGGAAAACTAAAATGACCAAATTTTTGCTTGGTCAAAACTAAAGCAACTTTTGATTTTTTATTTTAAAATAATTAAATTTTGGCTAGTAGTCGATAGCATAACCAGTATTTTGATAGCAGCTGCACACCTACGAGGCATTGAATCTATAACACGCTCAATTTGATCCTTGGGTGTGCTTTCCCAGGCACCCCGAATTCTTTAGAAAATGTTGTGCTTATTTATTTCCGAATCTCTCTTGATCTTCCTATCTACGATACTCCAAAGGCTTTCTAAGGAGTTTAGGTCAGGTGATTGTGCCGGTCATAACAAAACATGAATTTTTGACTCCCGCAACCAATATTTGACAAGTTTTGATACAAGTTTGGGATCATTGTCATGCTGAAACACACAAATCAGCCCAATATTTTACTCAGCGTAAGGGAACAACGTGATGTCCAACACATCTTTGTAAACAAACGGATCCACAACTTCCTTTATTTTATGGATAGACCCAAGTCCATAGAAAGAAAAATAGCGCCACGCCATTTTTGACCCTCTCCCATGCTTCACTGTACCTTTGCAACACTGCGGTTTGAGTCCCTCATTTTTTGGTCTTCTCACCGTAAAATTTTTCACGTCTGAGCCTTTAATATTAAACGTAGACTCATCCCAGAAATAATGTTTTTTCCATTGAGCTTGATTCCACTTAATATTATCGTTTCCGAAAGCCTTTTTGATTTTTTCAGATATAAATGGTTTTTTGATGTCTTACGGGCACGCAGACCAGCTGCCACTACTCGTCTACGCACTGATCTCGAGCTTATATCCAATGATTGCTCTCTCACCAATCCTGTTGAACTCTTAAACAGTTGTTTTTTATTTCTCTCACAATTTTTGGATCAGTATGGGCTGAAGTTCTTCACGGCCTTCATCCGTTATGGACTGTTACTACTGATCCAGTTTCAAAAAACCGACTTAGTGCACAGACATAATTATGAAATCACATAAATATTTATGAAATATTTCTCGGAAATCATTTTCTGTGATATGTTGTTTTGATAATCACTGATAATTTGCTGTTTTATTCAGGTACAGTATTTGCTTCTAGCCATTTTAAATTTTTTTTTTGGCAGTACTTAAAAAACGAAAAGAAAAACACATACTGTTGTAAAAAACTTCTCAAAAAGGATTTATGACAAGCGAAATTGTCGAAGGAAGCAAAAAGCGATAAATATCACAGTAAAAACCACTGAAATTGCAGCGGTTATATGAATGTTCAACAGAGTTGCTTTTGTTTTGTCCAAGCCAAAATCGGGTTAATTGACTTTACCAAACATAATTTTTTATATAAAAATGAATTTTGGTTTTATGTTTTAGGTTTTTAAAAAGTGAATAAAGTACCTAATTTAAAACAAGAAAAACTTTCACATTTTCTTAATTTTTGAAAAAGTTACAGGGCATTCATTCTCCTTGTAATTTCAGTTGCTTTAGTTTTGGCCACCAGTGTATCTATCTATACATATTATCATTTTCTCCGGGTCATTATACTTGCATTGCCCCTAATGACGAATACTTTTCTCAGGCAGTGTGATGTAATACATTTGCAGGCGAAAAAACTCAGCCGCATTGGGAGAGGGACGACTTACCTTAGCCATCTTTGGATATTTTTCGTGTTCTTAGAGGTCAGTCGGGAGTACCAGAAAGTAGTCCATCACACAAATTGATTGAATTCGCAATTTAACAAAAACAGCTGTTCTTAATGTACCAATAAAACTGACGACAATGGGGACATCAAATGTGCCATTGGGGTAAATATTTCTCATACGAAAACTTTAGTGTCTTTCTCCTTTCCGTGGGTTTACGACAAATTCCGATAGTTTTGGTCGTCACACAAATGGTAGTCCTCCGTGTAGAAGGCAAGTGCTGCAGGTATCATTCTTAATACAATTTTTTTGCTCACTTTGATTCTATTTTATTTCACCTTTATTATGAACTAACTGTTTTGCGGGATAATGACGAATACACGACGAACAACGAACATTCATAACTTTTTGTTTTTTTATTATTTATTTTTCGTTTCTCTAACACTCAACACAATGCACAAACATACGAAAATAACACACACGCACAGAGTTATCCACAGACTCTCTTAACACTATCATTGGTCGGTTTTGATGGCAGAGCCCCAACGCTCCACTGTATGCTGGAGCACAGCCAGAGAAAATCAGCGATATCCCGACTCAGGCAAAAGCACCGAAAAGGAATTGCCAAAAGAATTTTTATTGATTTTTTTATTTGATTTGTTGTAGGAACACATGCACAACTACTAGTGAACTCTGCAAGGAGACCGACTTTCGTAATATTCTAATTAGAAATGCATTTTCCGTAATTTTTTAACAAATCGATAATTTCTTTTCAAATGCTGAAATAATAATGCGGGGTTCGCGACACTTTTCTGCTATACAAACTGTGCCCAAGCTGCTGGCAAGAAAGGCGTTCTCCTCCCGTTTTCTATGGTATTCCTTTGCACTATACACAATGTTTGTTCTACTTTTGAACATCCCACAGCCGTAGAAACGTCAAAAGCAATCTCCGATGCAATGTTTACCGTTCGCGTCTCAACTTCAACTGAGAATGAGAAGAAATGACTGTTATGACCAGAAGCAGCCAAAGAAGAATAATAACAAATATGTCTGTCTGTTAAAGTTTAACAACAACAAGTGAGCACGGGAGAGAATAACGGTACATTTATTGGGGCATGCGCCTTCAACATAGGGGGGACGTAGGTGTTAGTTATGGAAAAGAAAATATTCAATTATGAAGGATTGACACAGTAGTTAGTCAGTCGCTTGAAAGTTTGAGATTATGAGATTCAGTCACATAAAATAATTTAGATTGGGTACAACCCAGCAAGCAAAAACTATCCCCCAAATAACTAAGAAGTCACGCCTAAGCGATAGAAATCATCGCGTTTGATATCGCTTTCTCACCCCGGAAGGAGCATCCTTCGGGAAGAGATGAACCACGCCCGCGATATTTTTCTAATGATCGTGGAAGTCACTTCCTCGATAGTAATTGAAAGTGAAAAAAAAAAACTAAAAAAAAAATTTTTTACTCCAGACTTAAGCATTTATTTTTTTATTTTTATTATTGTCTCTTTTTTCCAATGTTCATTTGCATAGAACTATTACTTATTAGATGAAATGCTCAAACATTTTTTTTCGTTTTAAAAATGTGATGTCTGGATTGGGAATCGAACCGAGGTGTTCAGAGAGCAAAGCTGGCATGCTTACCACTGCGCCACAGTGTCTTATATTCTACATATAGAATAAAGTCTTATTTATGTTCAATTCGTAAATAATGGCAAACTATCACTGTTTTATCCGATGGCAGTCACTAGATAGTGTCTGGACACGCGACACTTTCTTTTAACTTTCTTGACGCCACTAAGTAGTAACTACGTGACGATAGAAAGTAGACAACAGTAGTTTTGTTATTGTAAATGTACATACTATCGCATTTAATGGGATTAGAAGCGTCGCAGAAGTGGCATCTTAAAATGGAAGTGAGTCACACACTTCCAAATGCTTGCTGGGAAACCAGTATTCCTAGTCGTTGCTGTATTTTTTTAATAAAATAATTCAAATTGTTAATAATTAAATATGAAGATGTACTATGTACTTTAAGGACACTGTCAGTCAGCGATCTTGTTGTAAAATTAGGTTGAGAAAAGAGAAATTCTTCCATTGAAATTCAGACTTTTGTCGGCGAGGATTTTTCCAAAAAAAAAATGGCTACATTTATTAAATACATACAAAATACGCATGTGTGCAAATTGCAGCCTCCTCTCTCAATTCGTTCGTTGGTATCACGATTACAACAGACAATTAGGCATTGCTAAATCGACTTCGAATTTTACGCTGATAAGGAATCTATATACTTTGCAGAGCCTACGGGATTATTTCAAAAAGTTACAGATGGAATAACAACGGGAAGTGCCGTCTAAAGTTTGGTGTAGGGGATAAAAGTGTATTTTAAAACCTAAAGTGTGACTGACCTGCCGCTAAGAGGATAATAGAGGTCAACTTTGCATTCACAAAGGCGAAATTTCAAAGACGAGAATATCAGTTAAGAGATGTCTACTAAAGCACTAACACATATACACATATATATCTCGCATATATCCCAATACTATTCTTATTTAGAAGTTATAATTGGTAATATTTTTAATACATTCCCAATTTGCCATATACTCCCTATATGTTGAAGGTTTTGGGCACATTTTGTTGAGTTACTGAACTCGTATTGCTGGAATAAAAACGTAAAATAAAATAAAACGAGTGATTTGAATGTGAATCAATTTTTGAAATTACTCCAATGCACGAATCCAAAACATGTAATTGATGTTTAAAATGGAAAATATAAGAATCATACCTTACAATTGTAAAAATCACAAATTATTTCATGCAAAGCCTATGAAGTAGGGATACACTAACATCTTGGCCATTAAACATTTTGCTCGGTATGGTTTTCACTTTGTTAAACTTTTACAAAATGATACTGCCATTCGAAGGCTTAAAGTCACAAGATAAACCCGCTGCATACGTTCACCGGTATACTTGGCAAAAGAACCCTTATAAACAAAAAAATATTGAGGAAGTAACTTAGAAGTCAGGCATAGGGATTATCGTGGATGATAGTGGTATTCTTGCAACGAAAGTTACGTCCTTTGGAGAGAAAAGATTAATATTTCCGCTTAAGGAAAATCTACATCATATCGTTACCGATCAGAAAACTACATTACGATGAAAGGTATATAAAGTAAAAGAAGAATATGTATTCATTCCATTTTGCAAAACAAGGGAAATAAGACCTTATACACATATTACATTGTTGCTTGTAGTAATAGAATTCTTTGTATACCCTCCACTATCCATTGTATGGAGGATATATTAAGTTTGTCACTGAATTTCCACGTTTTGGTATAGCCTCCCTAAATTGTGATACCTGATACTCGGTATTTTGACGATTTTAGACACAGTTTCCAGGGAAAAAGCTTCAAATTCGGTATTTGGAGTTCACAATCCCATATAACGGTACATCCAAATATTCAGTATTTTTTCGATTTTAGCCACATTTTCGTATTGACAGGAGTGACGCATACCTCCGAATACTAGAATTTCGGCATTTGCAGTCGTAATTTTTTTAGTTATTTTCCAAATAGATATTTTTACTATTTAATTTCTTAAACTCATTACTTAAAACTAAAACTTTCTTTTCTTGGCTCTCCAGCAATTAAATATTATCGAAACAAATATCCTAGAACAACAACTCTAGATTTGACAATATTTTTATATTTAGTATGAGAGAATATTCTAAGTTCATAAGGTAGCAGAATTCAAACGCGTGCAGCCCAAATATCCTAGCTATAATCAACTGAGAAAAATTGTTACTAAATGCCGGAGCATTTCTCAATTGTACTATGTATAAGATCTATTACGCTTACAAAGTTACTTAAAAATATGTATTGTAAAAGTTAAAGGGCGGTTCCGGTTCAAGTAGAGCTCGCGGATATCGGGACAACAATAGATTTCAAGATACCCAAGTACAATGAACGTGCAAAAACAATAGATTTCAAGATACCGAAGTACAATGAACTCAACAATATACCGTGTATCATGAGTGTACGAAGAAAGAAGTGGGAGGAACTTTAACTACTCCAACAATTTTTCTGTATTTTGACGTTTTCAGACACTCGACCGTCATGGCTGCGACCAATTCAGTTCTTCAACTCATTTACTCATTGAGATCGTCCACGATTTCTAGCTTTGTCACTCTCACCATGAAAGGGTTCGATTTTGTAGAATTAATTTGTATCATTGGTTCTTTCTTTATTTTCTATTTTTCCTATTTTCCAAATTTAATAACATATCAAGAAGTAAGTAAATTTACAAGTTCCAACCAGCCAGCCTACGACAAGCGATGCCATTTAGCCGTGGCAGGGAATTTTCCTCATCCCATCTAACGAATTGGTACCCATGGTTCCAATACTTCTCCAAACTTCTTCCTCTCTGAAAATAAAGCATGACTCAACAAAATTATGGAAACAACAGCTTAGCACATGGGAGGTTGCAACTTACGTATTGGTGGGAAGTCCTCAGGATGCAATTCAACGTAGTGTCTTAATACAGCATCACGGGTTGCTAAATCTTCAGTGCGCTTCTTATCAAGATATGTACCGCCAATTCCACCGAGGACGGCAAATCCAACATGATTCTGCAGACCTGGAAATAAACCAACCCACCGAATGTAGTGGATCCACATATTTTGTCCAAATTCTTCATTCACATCTGTTACGTCACTTTGAAACTAACCGGAAAATACAGGTCTACGCAAACCCCAATTTAACATGCATGCTAAACCAAAACCGGCCACTGTGCAAGCCAATGGATTGAATATGGAGCCAAGGAACGTTGGCTTACGGTCCCCCTTATTGGTAAGCAATTCCAACGGGTCAATCACGGCTGAGGACATCTTGTTAGAATTCACAAACAAAACCTCACTACCTCGGTCACTAATCGAAATAACCCAGTCTCGACTAGGGATATATAGTTCTGTTAAAATTTCGATAAATCGACAATTATCGATAAATGTAATCAATAAAATTTGTTGTGTATTTACACAGTGGTATATTTACTGCGTGCAGAAAAAAGGCAATACCGTCTGAATTTTACTTGACTCGTTCCTTTTTGAAATGACAAAGTTCAAAAATAGTAAAGAGCGGTACAATAATGTCAATTTAATAAAAAATGTCAATTTTTAATAAAAAAAAGTCCATGGCGTTCTATTCATTTTTACGGTTTTGTGAGAAAATTGTGAGAAAATTGCTAAATAAACAGAACAAATATTCGCATTTTTTTAATTAAATTTGAAGATACCAGACCTTAAAATTAAATCAATCTGACATGGCTTGTAGCCATTGTATAGGTAAAGTGACGTCAGTTTCGAGTAAAAAATAGCAAAAGTTGAAGATTATTGCACGCAAATAAAATAGCAGCTTTTTTCCAGCACTTTTTAATAGTGAAAGTATTAAAGTATCTTTGTCCTAAACGGGATGTTGTGGTGTTTATATATTTGTTGACTTCGGTGAAGCAAAGCAATTAATGTTAAATTTTCCCTTTCCATTATTATATTATTTTTCATAATACCCAGTTTTCTTACTATGGGGTAAATGGCAGGAGAAACCTTCTTCCCCCTGAACGAAAATGACAGACATCAACATCAATGCTCAACATTTTATTTTAAGATTTGTATATTGTAAAGAAGCATAAAAAGCAAATATTGATCGGTAGATTATCCATAAGACACTTGTATTGTTTTTTAAAGCAAACATTAAAAAAATGTTAAGTTCTATTGGTGTATATCTTGTACAAGTTTGATTAAGGCAATGTTTTATATCAAGTTTTCTAGGTATTAAACTGGAGCCATATAGCAAAATCTGAATTTACATTTTGATGTGGTATATGTAGGACTAATTTTACATCATTATATCTGTCCATTGCATTTTTTTTTTTTTTTTTTTTGCAAAAATATTGTGTATAGCAAAATAAAAACATTTAGGCACATTAAGTATTGTATCATAACTCAAGTTCGAGGCATTATTAAAATGTATATTTTAGTAACCTACACCCATTGTCAGAACCAAAAAAAAAAAAGAAATAAAAGGTTACTTATAAATATGACCTTACAAAGTTTACATTCATATTCTTGCATTTAATGTTTGAAATAAACCAAACAAAAAATAAAATTTTCTTTGTTTATTTTTGATAAATGTAGTAAAGTTTTAAAACATAAAATCAGACCAATTAAAATGTAAAGTTTAAAACTAAGGAAGATCATTATAATGTTTGCACGCTCAATCATCATTTGAGTTGTATGGTAATATGGGTACGACAACGAAATTAACAAGCAAGAATAACCAACATTTCTGCCACTAATTTCAAGCTTGACAATAAAAATGTAATAATCGTACTACAAGAAACAATAAAAACTCGAAACAATGAAGTATTTGCAATCGACAATTTGTCAATGTACATACACTCCATTGCAATAGAAAGGAAATAATAAAAATAACTAAGATTCTATAAAAGGCACATGAGAGTCGTAAAATAAAAGATACGTGTATAAGTATATAAATCATAGGCTGAACATGTTTTGCAAACATAGTCGGTACAAGTCATGAAGTCGGTATATTGTCCAGATTAAAAGCATATACTACTGAGTGTGAAATACTAGCAGTACTTTTGACACGTATCCTACGTCGGAGATAAATCCGTGTAAACAGTGTTTAGAAAATCACAAATAAGGCTGGTCTCACAACTCTGTTCAAAATTTACAATCGGCCGTCCGTCTGTCTACAGATGATACAATTGGAAAGTAGAATTTCTCAAATTAGTAAGGTTGATGGTCTTTTCTGTTACTTTTCTTAACTGTAAGTGGTTGGTGTGTCTCAATTTGAACTTATTTCTTCATTCGTTTGTTTTTTCTTAAAACTTACTCTAACTCTATTAACTTATATTTAGTGAAACGAAATCTGTAGCTAACGGCATTTTATGACACCGAACTTATAGCATTGTGAGGTGAACCCATTTGTGTTAGGACCTTATCCAGCCACTGCAGCGGTCCATGTAAATGTATTTCGATCCAGCATGGTGTGGATGTTACGTCTTGTCTATGATATTCAGCACCCCAACCTTTAACAAAACTCATTCGTATAGTACACATTTTCGTTAGCTCATAGACAGCCTCAAAGCCGTTGTTGACCGATTGAGATAAAAGTTGAGCAAATTCTTGATTGTTGAAAATTTTCAATGAACAACCAGGTGGTATTTTACAAACGGTGCTAGGATGGAAGCCATGGTGATAATTGCAATTACGTGATTGCACGAAGATTGCCGAATCCGAAAGACACTCAGCATAAACTTCCCCCGTAACATAGTAGAGGTGAACACCTTTTCCTGCAATTGTAAAGAAACTTGTGTAAGTTTAATACTTTTATTTTTGCTCCCAGGCATGATACCCACCTATATGACGTCGTGTATTCTCAATTGTACTGTTACGATTAACATTGCTCAATTGACCCAAACAACAACGATCCGAATTATTTGAAGGATTTGTAAAGCCGTCAACAATCACCGAATTATTGTTGCAGTGAAATACTTCCCCAACGCGACAGTTCAATTCGTAATAAGCGATCGAAGCCCAAAACGCTGGCTCTTGGTAGCTAACTTGAGCAACGTCATTCATGGGAGCATCAAGCATTTGCGTGCCATCGTTTGGATTGTTGGAATTGCCATCCTCCGACGGGCTATAGGCTGGCGGCGGTGTCTCGGCCATGCTACCGTAGGGCGAGTTGGGATTGGAACTTACAGAACTAGGGCTGCCCACGGAGGTCATAGGCGGACTGTTGGGACTTAGATGATTATTGAAGCCCGCCGTTGAGTAGCTAACATTGTGAGGCATGGTCGACTCTCCCATCTGATTGAATTGCAGCATTGAATGTCCCGGAGCAAATTCAGAGTGCCGTGGAACTAACACAGGTGGCAATACTGGGCTCTCCACCCGCTTATAATGATAAGGGTTTATACACACTTCTTTTTGTTTTGCAGAGAATGGATATTGACAAATTTCCAACGGCTTTAGTTCGTGATGTGATTGCAAATCCGGCCAGCGCCAAACCCGACAATATATAACATGCGGCAAGCCCTTACGATGCGATACCTGATAACAAAAACTCGATTATATTAATAAATACTTTTTAACATTTCCTCAGAACGTACCTGCAGACGTCCGTCCAAAGATCTTGGTATAGTCACGCACTTAGATGGCTGCCCTGGACAAGATAGAGCTCTTTCTAATTCCTCTATGGCTCCCGGACGCTTTTTTAGTTTTTTAACCAAACTGTCTACAGCCTTTTCGGCCCATTTTTCTTCTTCGTCTCCTTGTTTCCAACCTAACAATTTTTTCACTGCCGGCGAAGTAAACGTGAATAATGCTCCAATTTTGGACATTGCACTGCTGGAAGTAGATTCAACATCGTCGGTATCCATCCTGGATAATGTGCTGTTTATCCGAAAATCTTTATAGTTTGCTGAAGTTGAATAATCTGAAAAGAAGGAGAGACATGTTTATGGCATTAAATAATAGACCTCTAGCCAATTAATAATTCCCTGATACCTCACTAGGATTAATAAATTTCATTTTTAAATACACGTTTCAAAACATAAAAATTCACATTATGGCAAGATCAAAAGAGTTTTACACATTGAGTCATTTACAGAGGTACGGGGGAGCCTTTTAATAAGGACTACATGAACGCGAGGACCCATATAGACAATTTATTCTCCTATATAATAGAATATGGATCCATATTGAGTTTATTTAAGGCCTACAGGCAAACTTCGTGTTACCCTACTACCTAAATTCGTTTCTAGGTGTTGAATCTATCTTTATGACGACCTACTGAAAGTTCATACTATGGTGGTGGTTTATAAAATAATATGTGAAGATATTCATAATAATTTTACCATTTAATAATAAATTCCTCTAAACTTAAAAAGCTACATAATATAAGCTACATAATATAAGCTACATAATATTAAAAAATAAAATAAAAAATAGATATTAAATGAACAAGTTAAACATATCAGTCGGTTTTGTCCACAGATGGATACCCTCAGCCAATGTTAGATAATTTAAATTTACGAAGGCATGAGTCAATATTGCTCATTTCGTATCGGACCTAAATAAATATGATATAAATATTGCGACGTGCCATGTTTGGACTATATTGGTTACTTTCTTCACTTTATATGAGATATGTGATTATTTTTAGTAAATGTTAAAAGGAGTGGACCAATATATTCCACCTTTATACCAGACCATGGGTTAATAAAAATATTGTATGTGTGTAATTCGAAGACGATCGGACTCTTACCTCACATTTTATTCAAAATTGTTGACCCTTTGGGGCAGGGCATTTTCCCACCTGACCTAGCACTGATGTAAATATTACGATTTGCAAAGTTGAACCGTAAAATATTTTTTTTTTTTTTGAAAATTTTGACCTTTTGTGTGGGTACCTTGATCTAATATTTGATACTCCCTTCGAGAGTTATCGTGCACACCAGCCAGCAGACAGACAGACGGACGTCGCTGGATCGACTTTGAATGTCCTGAAATGGATTTGGTGCAAAGAGACCTAGGGTCACTTGATGGGGCACGTTTTAGCCGTATCAAATGATATATACACTCTGTAGCCATATGTCTGAGGGTATAATGACAGCTACACTTTAGATTTTATTTTTATTTTTTTTTTTCTTTTTTTTCTAATACCTTTTATATTTCTAAACATATACTAGATTTGTCTTTGTTACTTGTCTTTTTTATAATTTTCATTTAATTTACATTTCGCTATGAGAAAGGCATTATCATAATCGAATATATTTTCTTTGTACAGAAATATATAAAAACATATATGCCGAAATTATGTTATGAAATTTTCTCGGATAATATAAAATTCAGGCGCATAAAAACACTTTTGTCTAGATTCAATTCTCAATTTAAAATGCTGGTGAGCATGCGTACATTATTAAATTAATCAATCATAAAACCCCTTGTTGTCGGTTGTTCAGTGGTGGTTGAAGAGGCGATGATTGCGTGATAAATAAAAAACGACTATATGCATATAAATAAATACAACAAATCTTACAATTTGAAGCACTTCCGCTCATGCTTCACACAGAACAAAACGAACGTAAGTGCGGTTGTGTATTCATATTTACACACTCGCTCGCAACTCGCTTAAACAGAAAGTGGCTACTGTGTTCATGTTGCTAGTATTACAACTACTCACGATTTGGGAAAAAATTCAGAAGTGATTATTTATGATCCTCTCAATCTTTTATTTTCCTGCAGAAAAATCTCACTTCCAAAATTAAAATTAATATGAGAATATTTTATCTATTATTAATGCACACAATTTAGGAAATTGATAAAATAATTTCATATATGCTAAGTTCACATGGCACTTTATTCGCTCTCTATACGTTGTTTAATTTGGGAAAAATTCAGAAGTGATTATTTATGATCCTCTCAATCTTTTATTTTCCTGCAGAAAAATCTCACTTCCAAAATTAAAATTAATATGAGAATATTTTATCTATATTAATGCACAGAATTTAGGAAATTGATAAAATAATTGCATATATGCTAAGTTCACATGGCACTTGATTCGCTCTCTATACGTTGTGTGACCATTTATTATGTCTTATAATTTCTTCTTAATTCCCCAAATAAAATTTGCTGAGCGAACAAAGATTTTTGTTCCATTTAAAACACTTACAGAACTAAAATGAAAAAATAAATTATGACACATAAAAATTCAAACAAAAAAAATATTAATGAAATGTTCATGAAAACTGAGAATTATTAATGAAAAATATAATGTTGAATGGCGTATGGCCAAAATTTGCGCAATAATGGTACGAAAAACACCCATTGTCATCCCGTATTTGTTTTCCACGTGAATAAAATTCCCAAGTATTTTAACTATAGAAACTATAGGTTATACCTATTGTAAATGATAACTGTATCTGCATATTCAGTGATTCAATATTGTGGTATGAAGAACAGACTTTTCATGACTTCATATGGAGGGCCTCAGGAAAGCACAGAATTACTGTTTTATATGCGAATTCCATTTTATTTGAGAATTATTACTTGTTTGGCGCTTACCAAAAGTAAAATTGGTTGGGGATGTACAGGGTGAGATGAAAAAAATGCAACAAACTGTCATTTCTAAGCCACTCGTCCAACAGCTGTTAAAATTATTCCAGTGACAGCTCATTACAAAAACATTTTGGTGAAAATTTTCAATAAAAAAAGTTAATCGTAATGGAATTTAAGCGTGATAGTGTGATTTCTTTATGGAAAACCACAAGTGGATATCGTTAGAGCACTCAAGCATTTAAATGTGAATAAATCGTTTGTGTCTCGTACCATCACTCGTTACCGTGATACTGGTAGCGTAGCCCGACGTCAAGGATGTGGACGGAAGAAAACAGCAACATCAGCAGAAATAGTTTGAAAAATAACCTAATAATGGCTCGTGAGCTGAACATATCGCAATATTCCATTCGGCAAATATTGAAAATGAGCTTGGTGTAAAGCCATTGAAACTTCAAAAAGTGCTAGAACTTACACCGCAAACATTCGTTGTCTAGCAGTTTGTAAACAAACAAAAGTATCGTGTTTACTTGCCAAAGGGGTCAGCTGAAAATGTACACCTACGGTTGGCCACCACAACTCAAGCGCCGGCCATGGCGATGGTGTGGGCTGCCATAACAGTTGATGGTTGCCGTCCGCTCGTATTAATCGACCGTGGCATCGAAATGAATACCGAATATTATGGAGGGTGTATTAAAGCCTTGGACACGCAAACATTTTGGCCACAGACCTTGGACATTCAGGACTCAGAACCATTCGCACTCAGCACGCGCCACCCAAGAATGGTTACAAAATGAGGTTCCTCGCTTCATTTCCAGCGCACTATGGCCACCAAAATCTCCAGATACCAATTCGTTGGACTATTGTGTCTGAAGTATTTTGAAAAGCAAGGTTGGCACTAAAAAATACCAAAGTGTCGATCACCTCAAGCAAGCGCTTCGCCGCTACCGCAGAGCCACACTCGGGCAGCGTGTGGCGGTTTCATTGGCCGTTTGAAGGACATCATTTGTGCCAAAGGTGACCAATTCGAACAAATCCAAACTTATTCTAAAATTTGATGCTATTTCCGACATATTGTGTTATCATTCAATAAAATTAAAAAAAAATGTAAAAAATATGGCGCTTGACTTTGTTGCAGTTTTTTATCTCATCCTGTTTATGGAAGCCAAACAAATGAAATTTGCAAAAAATTCATCGCAAGCTTTACTTTGTTTACATAAGTACATGAATAGATGGACATGCAAATATCGACTCAGAATGTAATTCTGTGAACATCATAACGAAAAACTATGTTTCTTTATCGTTTCCTTTTGTATATTACAAACAAATGCACAAACACATTTCAGGATATAAAATCTAAATTCTCCCTATTACAGAAAAATATTAATCCTGATTTTTACTAATATTATGTTGTATATCTATAATAGTAAATATTATTTGCAATGATCGGTTTGTTCCCTTTTTTGAAGCCTATTTCAATGAAGAAACTTATAGGTGAAGAATAAAATAAAAACAAACAAGAACATTCAAACACTGAGCATGTTGCAAAAAAAACATACACATATTGGCGAAAATAAAACTGATCCAAATCCAAAAATAATCAATTCAATTGAAGCGAGTAAACGATGGCAAAGGGAGAACAGCAGACCTCCTCTATCACAGTAAAGTAATCCAAAGATCAACTGCAATTGCATCCACTTAGCTAAACATTTGCACTGAGCACTGTATGACTTGCCAACTACCGCGACTTCGCAATGGGCAATAACATTACATCAATATATGCATTAGTTACTCCGTTAAGATATCATATAATGAACTGAAACATCTTTGCTTGTTGAAATCACAATACGTCTTAATTTTGTGCACATTCAATAATTATTATTTTATTTTCCAAATCAATGGTGGTCGATCACAAAATACTCTATTGATCTTCCGATAAGCCGACACGGTGTTTGTTATGCCAGTTGGGATGGTCGCTAGATACGAATAGTGCTACTAGACTATGTTGCCATAGTTCGCTCTCTTTTCTCTGCGTAATATTAATTCGATTCGCGCGAAACACTTGGTAGCTGGCTACGTTCTCGGTTGCAATGAATGTAACGCGAATTGAAAGATAAATAAGTAAAAAAGAAGGTAAAATACTAGATGTTCGTATAAATTATCACAACATAGAAACAACAACCCGCCACGCCATCCGCTTTCGACGGGACACGTTGTAAACAATTGACGATGTAAGTACCAACTGAGTTCGAAAATGTGCGAACCATACCCAGCCAAGTGAACCCACGAAGGAGTCGCTGACGGCGTCGTCATTGAATGCTTGGTTTTCGAGATTGATTGACTGATTGAATAGTGCTTGCTAGCTAGCCATTCAAACAACAAACTAGATGTAGGTATAGCTATAGCCAACTAGAAGATACTAGCTGATTGTGTATATGTGTATGTGTGTCGGTTTGTATGCCACTGACGACTGTCGCCGCAAACAGAAAAAAAAAAAAAAAAACAATACGGAAAATAATTGAAAATGCAACAGGAGAGTAAGAACTTTGTGTTGGTCAGGTTATGTACAGCGATAGAAGTAGGTAGGTATGTCGATCACATAGAGATAAAAAACACAATGTTAGCATTTTCATATGAGAGTTCTGGATAAAATTTAACTTGATTCGTTAATAATTCGACGGGTTCAAATCAAAGCATAATCATAGCGTCACGAGTTAGTAGTAAAATATTTATGATCCTTATATTTTCGACGCTTGCATTGGTTGGTTTAAAATTGTTACAATCGAATAAACCAAAACAGTTAATGTTAATCCTGGTTCGACTTAGGACATTTTAAAAATACCATATTCTTTTTGAAATGGTGAGGGCAATGGGAACAATTTCGCGAATTGCTTAGTGAGGTCATGACTTTTTTTTTGAACAGAAAGATGCATATTTCATTCGGTCAGTTAAAAATACACTAAGACAAGACTCTCACCAAATCGCACGCGATATCCCCACCTAATGTAAATGCACAAGTTATTGCAATAATTTAAAAAAAAATCGGAAATCTCGTGCTCGGCTATATAATTTTTATTCTGTTCTAGAACCAGATTTTACGACTTTTTGCTTCTACTACGTTTTTGTTGTCCAGTTTTGTCAGAGGTTTTTGCCATATTATATCTCAATTAAGAATATACAATATGGTGGTGGGTGTAAAACTGAAAACATTTTAAGTGTGTAAAACAAATAAAAATTCTGAATAAAATGACATTTGTTCTTCAGTTAAGAATTATGTTAAATGCATTTTTAGTGCAACTTTACACCAAGGTCCTACTATGCCCAGGACATCACATGGCAGTCATAATCGAATAGAACATTTTATACTTCAACATGTTCAGTTCACTTAATTTGCATGTGTATAAAATTGTCGATTGTACGTGACATCGTATGAAAAACCAGCAGCAAATGGTAACTATATCCAAAAGCAAATAACTTCACCAAATCGTTTCCAGTTGAAACCCCCCCAATAACGAAAAGAAAAAAGAACACCATGGTATGGCTTGGGCGCCGCCCACAACTTGCAATCGACACATAAATGAAAACGAAATGAACAAATTTAAATAATAAATAAACAACACGCATGCATCATATATTCACCCATTCTTCCACACAAGATCGTAAGTGTAAATTACTTGTTCAGTGCAAAACGAGAATAAGGAATACAAAATGTCCAAACAACAACTCCAGACATGTGATTGCAATGCAGACGAAATGTTAACATTAATTTTAGATACGACTTGAGTGGTCGACGACTTGTTTTCTGTGCGTTTTATTTAAAAATCAAATATTCTGTTCAACTCCTTTCAACTAATATCCTTTAGCTTACAGGCACACGGTGTAGTACATAAGTATACAACATGCATTGCGGTTGTTAATATAGTCATCAGCACCCACATGCGTGTATTGTATAATAACAATTAAGGTTGTTGGAGGTTTTGAGTTGGATATTTTTAAGGGTTGTGGACTTAATTGTCCTCAGCAATAGCTTGTTTTATAAACAGAAAAATTGTAAAATGAATATTTAAAAAAGAAATTGAAAACATTTGAACAGACATAGATGGTGTCGGAACCAAACTGAAAGAACTGATGGAGTTTGGTGGTTATTTTCGATACCATGGCCCTCTCTTTCCCATCTATAAGCAGTGGTATTTTGTCTCCACAAATAAATCAACAAAGGCCAATTTTTGCAGCTCCCTGAAATATTTTGCCTCCGTGAAAGAATTAACTTTTAGTAGTTCAAAATTCATTGAGCTACCAATATTGGTATCGCATAATTTAGGTATATTCTGCAGGTCGATACGAGAGTGAATTGTAATTTATTACTTTTCCTCTATTCACTTCAATTGAGAAATTCCTTCTTTCTCTTCCAAACAAAATTACTGAGTGAATCTTACAAAAAAAGTAAAATCTGAAAAAGTAAATATGATTAAAATCTATGTCTAGAATAGATTATTTTAATATGATATGACAAATACCTATATAAATTATGAGAAATTGTTTAATCCTTTTTTAATTAAACCTAACTTAAAAAAGCAAAATACACGTTTTTTTAGAATCGGTATTTTTATCGCACCCGAAGTTTGGGAACTGGAGATATGAACAAAAAACCATAAAGCACAATGAATTGTTGTTGTGAATGTAAGGCTTGAAACAACATTAATGTTAGTCACCGTTACTAACATTAATGTAGTATGATCAACAATACATCATATGAATGCGAGTTCAATACCAGCGGCAGAAAAAGAAAAATTAAAAGGGTGCTGTGGAGAAATGGAACATAGAGAATAAAACGTTTTTTAGCTTGATTTGGGATTCTGGCGTACCTAGAGGAAAAAGTGCTGAGCCCCGGACGAATGCCGTCTACATAAAACTTTGGTGAATGTATTTAGTTTTTAGGCTAATATCTCTGAATCAGGGAAAAAGATTCGCACATATAAGAAAGATTATATTGTCAACCATCATTTGGCATGTATTTTTCTGTTTTATAAAAAATCCGTTTCATATGAGTCACTTGTTGGATAGGTATTTTTATAAGCTTCCAAATTATCTAGATAGTTTTGGTAGATCCGGGTCTAACATAGGTCTTAGATCCGGACTTTCGAGTTAAATATCTGGATACACGAGTCCGCCCCCCCCCCCCAGTTTTTACTAATAATAAATAATAATAATAATAATAATAATACGGGTCATTCGGGTCAAAATCAACATAAGGAATTATTTTTTCAGAAAATTCTGAGATTTTACAAAACTAGAGTTAAGACACAAACGTAGTAAGTAGAACCGTTGTGGAGTTCATTGAAATAATTGGGAACTGATTTTTTAGGACTTGTCCACAAACATTCCGGAGATCAATGAATCTGTCATCATGAACTCGTGTGCAACAGCCTCCACAAACATTCCGGAGATCAATGAATCTGTCATCATGAACTCGTGTGCAACAGCCTCGAAAACATTCGGTTTACTTAGAAAGTTATTTTCGAAGCAAATGTGGGAATTTGGGGCATGTATTGAAAAAACGACTTAAACCTATTACTTATCCATTTTTGTATTCCAAGGCATTGCCACACGCTACATGAAACATCTCTGAAGTAATGTGTACCACTCTTATGGCACAAACTACTAATGCGCATTACCACTGACGAAAGGGGAGGATGGATATAAAGCATTATGTTGCACATACACACACAGAGAGACAACACGAAAACAACATCCATGTTTCAAAGTCCAGTGTGCTTTACAAAATCGCAGATTTCTTCCATTGCAAGGAGAGTGTTAGAATCAATCCAACGACAAACGCAATCATAATGTTTGGGAATTTTGGGACTGGTCATAATTCTGAATAATCTTATTGATCAATATGTGTAAAATCGTATTGAAAAATCTTGTATGTATGGATTGTCTAGATTTTGCTACCAATCAATGGACTATTAATAATCCGCTTTGCATTTTTCTTGTTGTAGTTCGTTGCTTTTTAACACTTCCTTTCTTTGAAGATTTTTGATTGTTTCTTTTTTTTAGGAAATATGGACTTGAAAACGATTACACACTTGCGTTAGTAATTTACAAGAACAAAATAAACTTATTTTTTTGACACTCTACCACTACTTACTTTTATTAAATTTTCTCTTTTTTCTGTTGTTTATCACGAATACAAAAAAATCTTATTGCTCGTAACTAATCGCTTATAATCGTGTTAACTAGAGGTGGGAAACAATCGATGGCATATCGATAGTAAAGATACTTTTTTTTAAACGCAAGTATCGATTCCTGTGCCAATTCTAATATTAAGTTCATACGTGATTAGCTCTCTATTCGTTGTTTGACCCTTAGTCTACGTCCACACTGTGATGTTTTCAAGATTGACTTGAAAATATGCATTGGTACGGAAAGTAGATCAAAGCTTAAATTATGAATTTGGTCTGAAGATACAGCACTGTTCCCATTTTTAGCTGCACAAAATATGTTTGAAACATTCATGCACAAGCAACAGTAATGACCTGTTCCAGTTTTTTTGATATCATAAAGCGAAAATAGGTTATCGCAATAAAAACTTTCAATTCTTGCAGTTCTGGGATATACCATAAGTTTGCGGTGATATTTTTTACGTTCGATACGTGAGAAATTAATGATATTATAAGTTTGTTTGTGTGCTTATATCAGGGTAGGTACTTCATGTATTTTCGTTCAAATGCTCATTAAAATCCCTAGTCCAATTTTTTTAAAATTTTTTACTGAGAACCATGGTAGAATTAAGAAGAGCAGTTATGTAATCTTATGTTTACATTTTTTTCAAATTTATACATTTGACAACATCTCATTGTCAAAATCTACATTCATAAATCCATTGTATACATATAAAATCAGACAGGGGAATGGTTTTTTATGCATCGAAATTTGACAAAGTAAATTGCAGAAAATGCAGAGCAGGAATTGTAATTTGAAATGAGGTTACCTTTATTTCATTGTACTATGCTGAAAACTTACAAAACTGCAAGAATGTAAAAGTTTTTACTTCGATTTTACCTACTTAGATTTTACCTATCAAAAAAATTGCAAAACTTGTGGAGTCTTGCAGGTTCTGGAACAGAGCTTTAATGTTGTACTTTAAGTCTTAACAAAATGAGATTTAAGTCTTCGCATGTCATATTTTGTGAAATTTCATAAGGGGATTCTAGAGCCACATTCGTAGCCTGCAGTTGTTTTCTTTATAATTTGACATTAATATATCTAGTCATGATGTCAAGCTGCTTATGTACTCACACCTTAAGAAAATTTTATTGAAATAGTCCTAGTATGGTAGAAGAATATAGGTAGATTCATGAACATTGATTAAATAAACAATATTATTAGATGACGCGTAGCATTAAAAAAGGGATGGCCCGGTCATTGCCATTGACTTAAGAGTATATTGATTTTAATTTACTGTCCACGTAAGATTATTTGGCTTTGCTTTGAAATGAATGAAAAATAATAAAGGTTTATTTGTGATTTATGAAACATACTTACAGAATGTCGTATAAAAATGTAAAATTTAGAAACTATTTAAAAGGTCCCTTTACTCTTATCGGCCATTTTGATCACTTTGCTTAATTTGGACAGGTTCGCTTAAGAACAAAAATCCATAAATAATTAGTAGTTTTTTTAACGGCCAAACGCAAGGTGCAGTTTATTTTATTCATTTAATTTAGTTTTTAAAGCTTATCCCAACGCCAGATTGTTCCATCGTCGCAAACACAAACCAAAATTGAAGAATCTCTTGAAAACGTGGTTTGCCTTATGGCAGCATTACATTTTGGATGAACTAACGTACTGCACTTTGTTGCGTTAGGGTCAGAGGCATCCAATTCCCAAACGTAGGTTTTGCCCTGCTGGTTACCCAGGGCTAACATTTTGTGCCACAGATTAAAGGCAAATCGAACAAACCAAATTTCACACTCCTTGTAGTCGAAATGGTGAATGACACTCGTCGCAGTTTCTTGCGGTCTAACTTCTTTTTGGTCTAATTTTCCCGGTTTCCAACAAATGATTGAATTTTCACAGGACTTTGATAGCACAAAGTCTCCAAACCAGACAACACAATCAACGTAGTTGCGATGAATATCTCTGGTGGAAAAGTCAGGGAAATGTTCTTTTATTGTTGGGTAGGGTGCGGCATTCTTGTTCACATTGTAATGACAACTGCTCTCTAAAGCGTCATGAATGGCTGGTTTATTGAGACACCACAACTTTAACGAGTGGTCCATGCCACTGGACATAATGCGATCTCCTTTTGAGTCAAAATCTAATGATAGAACTTCATCACGATGGCCTTCAACGCCACCAAATATGGCTACACACACATCTGAACTTACATTCCATAAACGTAAAGAATGATCCTTGCTTCCAGATAACAAAATGTAAGGAAGTTTTGGGTGGAATTTCAACTCATTTATAGCATGACCATGGCCAATGAAATGTTTATTGCTCATGTTCCTTGAGATGTTAAAAAGACGTATAACTCCTCGATAACCGGCAGCTGCCAAAATTGGTTCAGATGTCTCAACATCGTAGGACCATGCACAGGTGTAAAAGTTTTCGTCGGGCTAATAAGACACATACATGTTTTTGGTTTATATATTTTAAATATTTAATCCATAATCTTACATCTGGATCAGCATAACATTGCAGCAATTTTATCCCGCCGTTACCATCCTCAGGTGGCTCAGTGCACTCATAAATTGAAATACGATCTTTCCCAACAGATGCGAATATGGCCTGTTGCCATAAATGGAGATTGAATTGAACACCAAAAATTGGTTGACCGTGGTCCTCCCGCAGATGACAGCTGAAAAAGTAGACAACGTTTTCAGCATTGTGTTGTTACTGTTTGTATTGAAGACATACATACACATATTTAAAAGATGGCTTCACAATTTTCGTCGCTTTACATTTCCGATGTAATTTATTGAGGCCAGAACTGCTTCGGGACGTTGCTGTGCCAGTACTCACGGAATCATCCTTATCATCAATGTCAGTGTCATGTCCCTGTTGTTGGACAATACTTGCAGAATCTACAGCGTAGTTTGTGTCGATATCATCCAGCATTACTTACCACCTGACGCCAGCAATATGGTAGGATGTATACAGAAAAGTTAGCTTGTCAGTGTTCACTGTAGCTTGTTGAACAATGGTTACACACGTGTGTGTGTGTTTGGGCAAAACATTTCAGTTTAACTAGTAAAACCTTGTTTTGCACTATATGCAGTCCAAATATTCAATGCAATTCTTGATAACATAATTGTTTTTTTGGTTATCTATGCAGGGAACAGGAAGGTCGAGAGACTTTGGTTAATCAGCTCATCAGGCATATTTGAGACAAGGGATTTACAGGGGTTTAGAATGTGTGGTAGTCTCGCTGATTTTCGTTTTCACTTCAAATAAGCATTGTCATCTTAATTTAAAATGCCTAAGCAGTTTTTCAGAAAAAAGGCAAAAAGACAAAAAAAGTAAGAAGAATGGTCAAGTTGTCAACAGTCTTGAACCTATCAGTTTCGATTGTGATCGAATAATAGACACATCAAAAATTTAACATTGCCTTTAAAAACAATTGGTTTGTTCTAATATCTTAATTTTTATTTAAGTGCTTGCGTACAGTTCTTTTTCAAGGTCCTCATTAATGTACATTTCTACTTCTCGTATTGCCTTAAGACTATGTTCAGTTCGCGATAATAACTCATTAATAAAGTAACCACGTAAGACATTGACTTTAGTTTGATTTTGCCGAGCCTTCGCATAGGCCACATCCAACTCATTTGGAAGAAAGGGTCCCATTTTTAAATCAGCAGCAACTTTCAGAAAGTGGCACTTTTTGTTGCGCAATGTGGCAAGTTGCTCGAAGTTGGATCTTCTCTGCATTTCCAGTCGTAGTATTTCTTCGTGTGGAGAATTCGTGTCACAAAATAATTCTGGCAGTTCACTGCGCATTTTTGTGCCAAAATCCCTAATAACAACCAAATTAGCAAGAAGTTTTTCCGAAAGCTGCTGTCTCACCGCTTTTCTTTCAGTGTAGTTAAGATTGACTTGGCATAACTCATTTAAGTCTAAAATATACCAATTAGTCTTAATTTTTGATACGTAGCAGGTTACTTACCCAAAATACAATCATTTCTTTTCTCGTTCATATATAAATAATCGCCGATTTTAATGACTTTCAAAGTCTTCTCAATTTGATCCTTGTCAGGTATTAGCATTTTATGACAGTTCAACTGTTTCACTTCTTTCAAGACTAGGCGCAACTTTCGAACCTTGGCAAGCTCCTCATCACGAGATTTCTGCAACTGTTCAATTGTCTCAGAATTTAATATTCGCGTCGTTTCGTTATTGCAGTCCATTTTGTTAAATTTCAAATAATAAATAATAGAGCGAACCCGCGTCCAAACACCGAAGTGGAAAGATCATTTCGGTGGCGGCGTTACATATTGACCTATTGGCGGCGACACGCTAACCTTTTTACCGACTCGCTACTGAAATGGCCATTACAATTTGTATGAAAATTTATGTCGCGAGAAGAATGTGGATGCAAGAATAAATAAAATTATGATTTTACAGTTCATGGGGATTATGAAATTTTGCGTTTTGGAATTAAGAAACTTAATCATACTAAGTACTCGATATTGTGAAAAATCTGTCACTCCAATTGGTGTCATATGGAACAGAACTACTTTCACATTTGTTCAATTTGTATCATGTGTCTATCAGCGTTACCTAAAGTTCGACGTAACGTAGACAAACATTCAACCTCCCCCTATAGCATGGTAGAAGAATATAGGTAGACGCATCGACACAGCTGCTGGGACAATGAACTGTCAAACCAATTTTGGAATTGAAATTGTTGAATTAAAAATTATTTAAATTTGTAAAAATTATTGAAAAACGTGAATTGTAATAGCCTCCGACTGACGTAGTATAAGAAAACAAATAAAAATCTACTTATATTTGAAAAAAAACATTTAAATTTTTTGACATATCAATGCTCCCAAGCGTTGATGCATCTACCTGTATTCTTCTGCCATGCCCTATAGTAAAGCTCATATCCATGGTACATATCACCAAATTTATTATCTACTAATGTTGTAAAGACTGATAATTTATATATTCCAATTACATATATTCATCGTAGTATTAGGGTAATCTTCATATAAATTCATGTATTTTAGTTGGGTGGTCGAATTTTTGGTAACGCTGTGCTGTGATAAAATAATCCTTCTACCAAGCGTCATTTTATGGTGAATGAACAACATGAACTAAAATAACTAGATGAACTAAAGGTACTATTTTAACTTAATGAACTACATGATTGAAGGAGTTGGATATAGTTCCGATCGTTCCTTTCGCAAAGCAGTTACTTTGAACTGCTTCTTTCCCGAACGACACAACTCTTGTTAAATTGTTTTGGTTATGGATTCGGAGGTAAATAAATAGTTTACTGTATATTACAAAGCAAATACGATATGCGAATATGGGGCATGTTCTTTTCTTTTATCAGGCACATTCACGCTGATCAAATCCAGTGCCTGTGCAGTACGCTAAAAACGTTGTTTTTAAAAACATGTAATATGTCTTAAATCATAATTCCAGGCCTCCAGCAAAAAATCGAGGAAGAGTAAATCTCGCAAAAGGACAAGGGACGCAATTGAACCACTCGATGATAAAGGAATTGTCCGGAAGCAAAAAGAACTGATGAGAGTTTTACACGTTAAAAACTTTCAGCTGCAAAACGGAAATCTATCGTACTTGGATTACATCGAGTTGAGGGAGGAGCTACTTCGTTTGAATGCCCTGAAGGATATTTTTAAGAATATGGATTAAAAATGAAGTAGTAAGAAAGTAAACACTAATAATTGTTATTGGTATTTGCTGTTTGACTTGCGGGCAAACAAGTTATTGGGGACACTAATTTCAATCGTGTCTGCTCAATAAACTATCCAATATAGACAATATTGGAAGGTTCCACTAACTAAAAAGTTGTCACACAATGGAGCAAACTAGACCGGTTCGGTGTTATAGTAAATATATATAATTGTAGCAGATAATATTTCCAAAAAAATCTTTCCTGGAACCAGAGATATAACCATATCATTCTAATAACCAAACTCTTTTCTAAATTGTCGGCTATACTTTGGGGCCTGAAGATAGAACTTTTGTCATAAACCATTACAATATTCAGATGTGAAACTTGAATAAAAAAATTCGGTGAATAATGTAGCTAAAATCATCAGAATTCGAATATAGGGAGGTACCGTTATATTGGGGCTATACGAAGACGTGGACCTGCACAGACAATTTTCTGTCATAGGCTGTAGCATCCGTTACGAACTTCAAATATCAAATTTGAAACAATTCCGGTGAATAATGTCGCTAAAATCACCAAAGAACCGAAAAGGGAGGTACCATTATATAGGGGCTATACCAAAACGTGGACCTACATCACCAATTTTCAATACCAAAAGTCCTGCAGACATAATACACATTTGAGTAAAATTTTATCAACCTACTTCATTTCGTTCGGAAGCTAGATTGATTTCAACAGACGGATATAAGTTGTGTAACCATTGCTTTCTAACCGCTAAATTACTTTTGAGATTTTCTCGGGACTGACTCGGTCACGTACCCACACTTTCTGGTCAAATGTACCGATGCCGCAAAAAAAAAAATACTTCCCGAAAAAAGAATAAAAATCGCCACTTCTAGAAAAAGAATTCTATTACTCTCAAGAGAGAAATGATTTAGGCTCTATGAGACGATATGTTTTTTACATTGACATTTCCGTTGTTATAAAAATTAATTCATAAGGTATTATAATTATCTAGAAAACACAATATAAGCAAAGGGGAAAATAAAACGTGAAAATAAAAGTGTGTGATAGCGAGAATTGAGTCATATGTAAAATGGCAATAAAGAATGTGACTGTATACATGTAACATCCGATGGTCTTCAGTAAATTTTAAAGGAAACGAATATATGTTCCTCGACATCATGGCATAATGTTTTGCCATTCTCGACACTATAGATTAATTCTAGGTTCGCAATTTAATTAAAAGTGAGATTTCTAAAATTTCACATGGAAATGGTGTATATTTGACGTCAATCGGACGCCGTGGGTTGTACTAACAAGCCATGCGACGACGTCGGAAAATGAGCATCGACTTAGAATTTATATCAAAACGTTTACATTGTACATATAAGTTTAAGAACAAAATAATTCCGAAATTTGTTGAAGAAAATCTACAAAATGGGCTCATCTTCAAGCGGAAAAAAACACAAAAAGGATAAAAAACACAAGAAACATAAGAAGCACAAGGAAAAACATGTGATTACGGTCACAGAGACCGATTCAGACAGTAAGTGATTTGCTAGGGCTGCAATAGCCAACTTGGGTCTGGGATGTGAATGCTTTTGGGGATGTGTGTGGTGGCATAAAGAAGGAATAAATACTAGCAAGCACAGAAGATAAGCGATTTTTTAAATGTGTTCATTTTGAGGATATGTTTATTCCTTCTTCCCTCACACATTTTTTTGGGCTGAAATCATCGAATTTTCTTTCATTCTCTCTTACAGGCTTGTTGACCAAGAGGTAATCTGGGTTGAAAGTAACTCAACTTTTTGATACTTGTTGACGGGTTTAAATTGAGTCGAAACAAACGTGTTGCAGTATAAGATTAGACCTAACTTATTTTCATTGTTTCAGGTTCAGATTGTATTGAAGTTCCCGTGGCAAATGACGGCACCAAAAGCAGAAGCAGAGAACGTGATCGCAGTGCTCCCCCACCACCCCAGCTATCCAAACAGTATGAATTTGAAGAAGATCGTCGGAGACGTGAATATGAAAGGGAACGAGAAAAGGATCGTGAGCGGGATCGTGATCGCGATCGTGAACGCGATAGAGAACGTGACCGAGAGCGAGAACGACAACGCGATCGGGAGAGAGCGTATGAAAAAGATTTGGGTCGGGAAAGAGATCGTGATCGTTACGAAAGGGAGCAATTAAGGAGACGGGAAAGGGATGTTGATGATGGTATGGACAGGGAAAGACGAAGGGACTACGAAAGGCGCAGAGAAAGAGAACGAGATAGAGAACGGCCCGATAGGGACAGACGTTCTCGTCGTGTGGAAGATAATGAAGACAGAGATATTGAAAGGGCTTTGTCAGTTGAGAGCGAGCGTTCTAAATCAGTAGAAATTGTAAGGTCTCAAGAACGAGACCTTTCGCCAATACCTGAAAATGGCGCTGGTGATTGTCTGTCGATTGAAGAAACCAACAAGTTAAGAGCTAAGTTGGGTTTGAAACCATTGGAATTGGATTCCGGGCCATCTGTTAAGCCGACCACTTCAGCCGCTGCAGCAGCCGAATTAAAAATACCTGGGCAAAAAGATCTGTCCTCATACAAAGACGAATGGGGAGAGTTTTTGCACAAACCAGCTGAAAACCTAAAAGAGAAGAGCGAAACGGAAAAGATTAGGGAGAAACTGAAGCAAAGGAAAGAGAAACGGGCTTTGGAAGAACGTCTTGCCCGTATTAAAACTCTTGGTGAATCGGACGATGAGGTTGACGACATAAGTAAGTGGGTGGAACGTAACAAGCGAGCCGTGGATGAAAAGAAGGAAGCCGAAAGAAGGGTAAGCGCTGACCATCTTTGAAATAATATATATGTTTGAACTTTTTATTTCCAACAGGCCAAGCTCTTGGAGGAAATGGATCAAGAATTTGGGGTTGATGATCTTGTACAAAAAGAACAGGAGGAAACTCGTCAACGTGCATATGATGAGAAACATCTTAAAGGCCTTAAAGTTGATCATGATGTAAATGATTTCACCGAAGGAAAATCTATAATCCTGACACTTAAAGATGCCGATGTACTGGATGAAAAAGCTGACGACACTTTGGTTAACGTCAATATGATCGATGATGAACGATATCGCAAAAATGTGTCGGCTAAAAAACTGAATCCTTTGTCGTATGGTTACAATGTTTACGAGGAACAGTATGATGAACTAGGAAATCCTATAGAAAGGGGCATTTTGGAAAAATACGATGAAGATTTAGACGGAAATAAGAAGAAAACGAAAACGTTTGTTATTGGAGAAAATCTGGAAGAGGAACGCGAACACCAGCGTAAAATTTTGGAGATAAAAACAAAATTGGCTGGTAAAAGGCTGGAAACCCTAGCTGACGTCGAGATAAAATTAGCCTCCGATACATTGACGGAAGCCGAAATGGCCACGTAAGTATCTTGCGTTAACAAAGTGTTTAACGTAAACTCATTAAAATCAAATCTATTTTCTTTCTTTTATATAGCTTTAAGAAACCGAAAAAGAAAAAGAAGCTCAGACAAAAACTTAAAGCTGATGATTTGGTACCACTTGCTGATGAAAATCCAACTCAACATTTGGGAAGTCGATTGGGTCGACATCGCAGTCCCAGTGACGGCGATCCTTCTTCTGTGTCTACCGAACCTGACGTGAAAATCGAGGAAGAGGACGATGACATGGAACGAATTCTCTCCAAAGCACGTAAGCTCAAGCAGAAAGAAAGCATTATAAAAAAACCATTACCTATTGAGATAAAAACGGAAGTTAAAGCCGAGCAAGGCGATGATAATGCTATGGACATTGATGGGGGTCGTGAAAACAATATTGTTTTGAATGCAACCGCTGAATTTTGTCGAACATTGGGAGACATACCTACTTATGGCATGGCTGGTAATCGGGACGAAGACTCAAACGGCATGATGGACTTCGAAGTCAATGAAACCAATGATGATCGTGTACACGAAGAACCCGAAGATGTGCTAGTGGAAAGTGGCCATGGTACTTGGAACTCTGTTAATCCGGATGAAGTCAACAAACCTGCCAATTTGGATGCCATTGTCAATGAGGTTGAGGAAGTAGCCATTTTAGACGAAGAACCCGATGTTGGTGCCGGAGTAGCTAATGCTCTTCGTTTAGCGCTTTCCAAAGGCTATTTGGAGAAGGAGGAACATAATCGACCCAGTAACTCAAAAATGGCTCATTTGCAAGCAAAGAATTATTCAATAGAAGATAAAAATATGGGGTATAAACTACATATAATTCTTTAATTTTCTATATTTACAACTTTAATTTGTTGATTTCATTTCCAGGGAGGATGATAAATTTGGTAGGCGCGATCGTTTTCATGGTGGCCCCATTATGGAGTTCAAGGACAAAGATAATTTCAAACCAAATGTGAAACTGGAATACATTGACGACAATGGTCGCATATTGAATTTGAAAGAGGCTTTCCGTTATTTGTCTCACAAATTCCATGGCAAGGGCCCGGGCAAGAATAAAATTGAGAAGCGTCTAAAAAAGATGGAACAAGAAGGGGTATGTGAAGAGCATTTAATAGTGTATTTTATTTCTCAACATTTTTTATATATTATTTGCAGCTAATGAAAACGATGAGCTCCACTGACACTCCTTTGGGAACACTTACCATGTTACAACAGAAACAAAAGGAAACTAAGACCCCGTATGTGGTACTAAGTGGAGGTAAACAAGTATCTACAAATATTTCGGGAGGAACAATATCTAAATTTAAGTAGAATGTAAGTGTTTATGCAACCCATACGTTATGCTCCTTAAGGAATGATATAAATATATGCAAACGTATAATGTTAGACTACTATAATAAGCAAAATTTCCACAAACTGCAATAGTCGCCTAAACAATAGTTTATTAAATTACACATTTACATACAATTGTAACCAACAAGGATAAGCATAACCAAAGTTGAAATTAGCAACTTCTCAAATTGTTGCTTTTTCACCACATAACAATTAATGCAATAGTCTTTCATTTATATTTTAGCAATTTATCCCTTATTCATATTATTATATGTGTCTCACACAAAACTTATACATGCTGGTAGTAATCGTATTTTTCAAACATCATTATCCATCCTAAGGTAGAAAGAAAATGAGATCAGATTGTCCGTATGGTCAGAACTTCCGTTTCGAAGAAAACTAAAATATGGATAAACATAATTTTTAAAATAAATTTGAGTACTGTAAAATGAAGTATGATACACATGATTTTTTTTACTTACCTTTAAAACCGGTAAATATTTGGGTGGGTTTCGAATGATTCCCCTGGAAAAACAATACGCGACTTCCAATTTGACTACATTTGAAGAGATTTTTTTCCGTTTTCTTTATTTGCAATTCAAACAAAGCATCTGCAAACTTCAAACCTTGAAAATATAATACAATGGGACATATTTTTTTTTAATATTTTATGCTCGAAGTACCTGATATGTTTAACTCGTTTGTTCCTGGTAAAACTGAGGCATTCTGAATGGACATTTGTGAAATGTGTTCGGACATATCAAATTTTATGCCCGCATAGCCGAATAAAATTGACTGCAAAAATCCTCCTATGCCAGTTAGGAAATTGGCCGATCCTGGGAAGCCAATTTCTGTTTCGCTCCATACCTTTGAAAACATACATCAATACATCAGGTTATTCTTACTATGGGTTAATAAACAAGTTTTTGTAAAACTTTTCTAATACTAGACGGTGCCAAGAGGAAAGTTTATCATCTACTCTTTTAATAATGTATCGAAAGGAATATATTTTACTTGTAATTGAAAAGAGCCCATTTAAATTACATATTCAAATGGCTCACAAGTAGAAAACAAACAAGAGGCCTTAGGTACCTTGAATTCCGGCCGAACGTAACTTTGATATCCTTTCAGAAAATATTTATCAGCTTTGCTTGTAAGACCCAGTTCCAAAAAGTTTATAGCAAACATTGACCAGGTCATGGCAGGACCGGACTGTCGAGTAACATTCTCGTATATTTCCAAGTCATTATAGCGCGTGGAACTAATTTGACAAAAATGATTGTTTCAAATAAAAAAAAAAACGTATTCAATGGGAACTCTTACTAATTCATCTTGAGCTGCAAAGGATATCCAAGTAAAATAGCGTCGGCTTGTTTAATTTCTTCTCCCGGTTGATAGCCCAAATGTTGGGGGTGGAAATCATTCACAGAGTCGTATAAAATGAACATGTTATCAGCGTGTTGCAGCCAATCCATAGAAGAATGATTCGAGTTTGGTGAACATTGCGACTGAGTGTAACTGCAATAGTTTTTTAAGTATATGTGTTCAATAATCTTTGGAAAATATTTAATTATGGTACCTTGCAAATTTAAATGCCTTCTGGAAAGCCACATTTGTGTACACGTTGTCGGTGACATGTTCGTGATCCTCATCGGGGCCCATAACATCTGAGATCGGAAGTTGGTATGAGTGTTAAAATAAGTTAATTGCGAAAATCCTTACCTCTTATGTGGTATTTCTTTGTCTCTGTGTTGAAGTCGGTTCGGTTGGAGAGAAAAACGGCAATTTCACTTAGTAATGGCCAAGCTGTGTCACACAGCCAATTACGGTCTAGTGTATTTGTATAATATCCTTGCAGTGCAATTGCAATATCGGCAGAAATATGAATCTCCTGTTCGGCCACTTCGGGACAACATGGGTTGGTGACTTCAGTCCCAGTAAACGCACTCTCCCATGGAAATCTAAAAGCATTGCGGAATCACATAAGCCGTTTTTACAAAAACAAAAATGAAAGGGCACAATCATAATGTAGTATGTAGTATATAATAAATTCCTATTCATATTTATTTGTGACTCTTTTCACCTTGCTCCCAAGAAGCCGGTACGATTTGCATTGTAAATAGCTCCCTGTATATGACTAAGTCGATAGTTGAAGAGTTCTTTAGACCAGCCGTTGTGCATTTGAGTAACAACTGGCAACATCCAAATTTCTGTATCCCAAAAATTGTGACCTTCATAGTCAGCATCTAGTTGACCACGGGCTAAACCAGTTGGACTTAAACCAAAGTATGGCTTGTTTGGCTTATTAGTGGCAACCGAAGGCAAAGAGCTAGCCATGTAAAATATGCCGGCATTAATGATTTGGGCCTATAATATGATAATTTTTTAAAAAGGTTCATTTGTTTTATATTCACAACTCACCAATTCGAGATTACCTTTGACATTTATTCCAAAGTTGTTCCAAAATACATGCCAGCTGGCACAATGTTTTTCAAACACTTCATCCTGACCTCTCGCTAGGACTAAATGTAAAATTGATTTTATCATTTCTTTTGCTGCGAGCACATCATATATATTTACCACTTTTAAGTTCTTCCAGAGCTACATATTTATCAGAGTCGACGGTTATAACGAATCGGTAATGAAGAAATCTATGTCCTGTTTTCAGTTTGAGGAGTTTTTGATCTTTTTCTAAATCTTCACTAAATGCCACGTAGATATGCGTGCGATTGGGCTGGAATAGTTGGTGTTCAACTTCCTTTGTAGTGGCTTTTAAAATTTTATAGGGGCTCTCACCAATGGTTTCCAAATCAAATGCTTCCGTTTCAGACCCAGAATTGCATTGAAGATTAATCGTCAATGCTTCTGTGAAAAGAAATACAAAAATGTTTTGCCTCTCGTAATTTCTATGTGAAGTGAATTCTCCACCCTCTCATTATTTTGATAACATTTGACAATATTGTACTAGACTTTGCATTTTCTCCAAAAGTCAACCCACTATGTTGGAAATTACGCGATATCTTTGAACGTTAAACGAAGTACCTCGTACATAACCCATCTGCAAACAAACGACATATATTTGTGAAATGTTTGTCAGTTGGTTTGGATGATTGAATAAGTGCAACAGACAGTTGGAAGGTCAAGAATGTGAATATTAGGTTTTTTTGACACAACATTCTTGGCAAACACACAAACATCAGTTGAGCAATACTTATATCCTACTAAGTGTATATAAAAACACACAGGATCTATTAAACCGCCTGGATCTATTAAACCCCGTGGGTTAAACTTCATTAGTATAAATGCACTAATTTACCTCTACACCATGGTGGATCACTCCACATTGTTTAAGTTCTGATCATTACCTTGATCAGTCTCACGTTCGACTGAAAGTTCATAAATTAAAGCCCTATTATAGAAGCGATGAGCATATATTCTTTGGCGTATGGTAATGCCTCCCTCCTTCTGTTGCTTCGACCACTCGAAATAACCACCAGACAAATTCATCACGTAGCTAATATTGGTATGTATTGGGTCCATTGTGTCATTGCTTACGTTGAAGATACTAGCACTTATATTTAGCCAGTTTGGCAACCGCGCTCTTCTGCTATTGCCTTTATATCCATTGTAAACGCCATTTACAAAAATTGCATCTCCAAAGACAGTAAAGCCCATATAGCCATTCGATAACGAAGGCATAAAGTTCAGATCGGAAGGTAGGCTGGAAATATATAATTAATGTATTTGTGGAAACATGATGGGGCTTCTTACCTTTTTGACTCCAAAATAAACGCATTGTTCTTTTCGTTATCGAAACAGTAGGTGTGTGACAGAATAATTGCAATAACTAAAAAAATTAACATTTTTGTGAATACAGAACTTTTTCTGAGTAACTTCAAGTGTAGTCAGCTTAAATACTAATATATGTATATACAATCTGCTTGTCTACAAGCCATGAATGGAATGATAAGACAATGTGGATTTGTTGTGTATTCGTAGCTGCCAGATGATATTATTTATGAAGGCAAAATTCGGTAAATATGTGCCACCGAAATCTTCCAATCACCTCGAATCAATTGTAATTTAAGTGACAGATTTCATAAGGTGTACAATGCGAAATACGGGACTTTAAGTAGGTTTTAAAATACATACAATTGAAAGATTTTTATTAGCTACCGCACCACAGATGTCTTGTACTAAGTTTTGCGGTTTACTCTTGAAGCTTGTCGGTTTGATTAAATTCTTAGGTATGGTTCATATCATGGCCAAATTACAAGGTCAACAAGTAAGAACAGCAGACCTACATTTTTTGCCAACATAATTTGAATTTTATAATTAATTTAATTATAATTCATTCATAATGGTATTCATCCCATTTAGTTTCGTTGTTTTGAGCTTTTATTATCTTCGTTTTACCCTTTTTTAATGGTTTAATTTTCTTTATAGTCAAATTTATGGTTACCTTCCTTAAAAAAAAAAAAAAAAAAAAAAAAAAAAAAAATTTTTTGCTTGTTGTTGGTTATGATGCCCCTATTGATTCATTTTTTTACTTTTGATTTTCTTTCTGTAGTTTTGGCTGGGGAGCCTTTTATATCTTGATTTTAAATAATGTGATAGTTTTTTATAAGTTATTTTTATTTTTTCTACTTGGTATTGAGTACCTTATTAATACAATTAATTGGCCTTGGAGGCTTTAGTATTAAGTATGAATTAAATAAATAAATAAATAAATAAATAAATAATTATAATAATTATATAATTATAATATATATAGTTATATATATAATTATGTATAAATATAATTATGATTATAATTATAGCGTGTATGTTGAATTCTTCCATTAAAACGTTTAATTGTTATGCGGAGCTCTACTAAATTAGCAAGGTGGTGTGGGTATCATAAAGTCAGCCCCGCCCGACTTTAAGACTTTCTTTACTGGTTTATTTTTCATTTTTCGGAACCGATTTCAATAAAATTTGGCAAAGATATTTCTAAGCTGTATTTGATACATTTCCCTGAATATTACGGCTGTGGGTAACAAATATAACAAATCGGATGAACAGTATATATGGGAGCTATAGCTATATCTGAACCGATCTTCACCAAATTTGACATACTTCGGTCGTAGGTAAAATTCCATCCCATTTGGACAAATGTTAGACGTTAAAAATTAAATAAAAATTAAATCGGTCGAAGTTTTATATGGGAGCTATATCCAAATCTGAACCGATCTCGATAAAATTGGCATACTTATTTTCAGGCCTAATTTGGTGGTATGTGCAAAATGATATTACACGTTTGGTGCACAATAAAAAGTAAATCGGACGAAAATATATATGGGAGCTATATTTAAATTTTCACCGATTATCTCCAATTTCAATAGGGTTCGTCCTTGGGCCAAACAAATGATTTGTGCAAAATTTCATCTGGATAGGGCACTAAATGCGAACTGTACTTTGTTTACAAAAATACATGGACAGACGGACGGACAGAAAAAGACATAATACCCTGACCACCTTGTGGTGTAGGGTATAAAAGGTGATTGTACTCATAAGCTGTAAATTTCAATTTCAAAAGATGTATAACGATATAGCAAATTTTCGCCATATTGAAAAAATATTTGGTATGAAAATTAAAAAAAATGCACTTTAAGGGAGTTATTACTACTCAAATTGTGACGTTTTGTTGGGGAGGTACATAAATAATAGCCACGAAATACCAAGTATGAACTATATCGGGTACTACTTTCATTCAATATGAGGTATGTAATTTTCGGAAAATTTTAAACTTTTGTGATAATGGTACCTTAAGAAGTGACCGATTTTAACTAACTCGATCTAAGTTTGTTTGCACCATGTTTTGTACAAATTGGTGTATAATTTGCTTTAAGCTTAGCCATCAGGTTATCAGTGCTGTCAATTTATATTTAAGAAGCCCTTAGTGACAACAAGCTGTTTTTCTACTATCTTTTGTAAAATATTTTTTTCAGACAGATCCGAGTTCAATATTTTTTTTATTTTTAAAACAATATTGCGAATATAGTTAATTTAATCTTAAGGGAATCCCAAAATAAAAAACGGATGTTAAACATGATAAATTTGGCTATTCGGATAAATCCTAAAAAAACATACGGACCTAAAAACAAATATTTCAAAGACCCTATTACTTAAAAATGTTCAAATTAATGCCTGCAAAGTAGAAAGCGAAGATTCAGCCCAGTGGACTAACTGTCTTTAAAAGTCTTCAGCCTCGTCAAAAATAAATCACAAAGCCTGCGAAGCGATAATATTCTCTGTTAATTTCACAGTTTATGACAACGGGAAAGTTCGTGTTTTAAGGGTTGAGCTTTCGAAACGACAACTTTCTAAATTATTACGGTTTTAGGAACCATTGGCTGGAATGAAATCCAAAATATGATAAACTTAGCTTGCCATGAAAAGCAATGGTGGCATCACATTTGCATAAAGCGCACAGTAGAACCTTCTTTTTAAATAAATCGTTGTTTATTTTTTGCTACGTGCTAATTTTTCAACATTCTGCCTCGTCGAAATTACATTGAATATTGGGATAATGATAAAAGTCCATTTTCATCTTCGTCTACTGTAACAATGTCAGACCGTGAATTAATTTTTCATATCATAATGAGTTTTTCATTCCTTTATACACATTTATATTTACATATGTGTGTATGTATGAGTGAGTCTCGGGGTTCTCGAACATGTTAAAAAAGGGGGACTTGGACTAAAAATTTTAATTGTAATAATATGAAGAAGCACGCGCGCGCATTTAGGCATGCGCAACCGAATGATGGGTACCAAAACGAAAGGCAAGAATTATGATTAACGTCGTCTCAAAGACTTATTTCAATTATTACACCTGTTCTGCTTCGAAATAAAAACAATCACCAGCCGCTAAGGAACAAATAACACGATTGCTGTCATGGAAGAGCACTCTGCCGTGACTTGCAAAAGAAAAGGGTTGAAAAGAAAAAAAAAAAGACATTGTAATTTTCCATTTCCAAGAAAACTCAGTCAGATTGCTCTTATAAAACAATTTATGTAGATTTGTTTCCAGATAAGGCGGCAGAAATCTAGGCAACCACTGTTAGAGCTCAGTACGCTAATGAGCAACTAGCCGAGCTGAATGTCGTAAAAGTTTAGGTAGCAAGTCGAAGGATGTGTTAGTGCAGTGACCTTTACTGATCTTGATTGTGATGAATCATGACGCTTCCTTGCGATAAATCATAAACAACAGGCAAAACACTTTGCAGCACGGCTACATATACGATATGGAACAATTTTTGATACAGAACTACTTCGGGTTTTTAACATTGATGAGATATGCCGTTATATTATATATCTATGTCATTCCGTTCGTAGACCCCATAAAGTATATGTACTTAATCAGCATAAAATTCTAAGTCGATTTAACAATGTCCGCCTGTCTGCTGAAATAACGATATAGCCCACATGCTTAAAAATTTGGTAGAACAATTTGTATTGTGTCTAGGATGGTTGGTATTGAAAATGCCACATTTTTGCATGGATTTGTCTAAATTGGTATTTTTGGTCATAATAGTTCTAGCTCCTTTGGCCAAATATTGTATGTAAAGGTCCACGTTTCGGTATAGGCCTCATTATAACGATACCCTCTTCTATTCGGTATTTTAATTATTTCTGCCACATTTTTCCACGGATTTTTCTAAAAATTGGTATTTGAAGTTCGAAATGGGTTCTAGCTTCGATGGAGGAACATGGTATATATAGGTCCACGTTTTGGTATAGCCTGCTTATAACGGTACCTCCCCATAAAAATTGTTATATGTAGTTCATAATGAGTTCTATCTTCGGCGCAGAACATTGAAAATTTAGGTTCACGCTTTCCTATAGCGCATATATAACGATACCCACCGATACTCGGTATTTTAATAATCCTAGTCACTAGCCACTTACCCTCGAAATTGTTTTAAATTTAATACTTAAGAAGATTTGACACACATAGCTAGTGTCTGTCCTTGTTAATTTGTAATCACGCTACAATTCGCAATTATGTCCAGATCCTCACAAAAATTAGCATTTGGGTTGGTTTAGGATTAGAATAGACGCCTTTTGTTGCAGATGATGGCAAAATATTTAGAGAGAAATTGTTCATAAATTTGCAGTTGTTCTACAGGCCACAATTATTGACCGATTGACGCAGAATTTTGCATGGGGTATGAGAATAAGACAGGGCAGAAGCCAATTAATTTCGATGGTCATTGCATAATGTTTATAGGTTGGAATAGACCATCACTTTAAAAATCCCTATAAAACATACCAACGTTTCCAAATATAAACCGCCAGTATTTTTAATCCCGATGAAATCAAAAATACACGAAAATGTAACTTTTGAACGTTACTTTGATGCTAATAGGCAAGATATTGGCAATAAAATATGTGCAATCTATATATAAAAGGAAATGATGTTAGTTTCTACGCACATAACTCAAGAACGGCTAGACTGATTTTGACAACTCTTACTAATTCAGCAAAACCTATTCCAAAAAACGATAAAATCTAAAAAAAAAGAATCGCGTAAAAATATGCGAATAAAAATGTGAATATTTTTTGTTATATTTTCTGATATATTTTTATTTTTTGGTCATATTTTTTATTGCATTAAATTTTTTCAATTTGACTAAGAATTGATATGTTTCAGAACTTGCAACAATCTACTCATTTTGCCATTTTTTCATCATCATATAGGGAAAATCGGTTATCGTATTAAAAACTTTTACATTTACATGTTGCGGAACTGTAAGAATGTACAATTATTTACTGCAACAACCGATTCCCTTTACAGAATTTCTCATGAGGAAGCCTAATAAAATTTAGGATAGCCTTACATTTTGGATGACCATCCGGATAGGGCAGAAGCCTAATACTTTGGATGACCATCCGATAATGTTTACTGGGATAGAATTTAACACACATTTTTTGCGAAATTGCTTTGAGTACCTATCAGCACGACAGAAGGCAAAAATAAAGGGTTAAGTCCCTAGGTTCTTTGGTCCTTTAAAAATATATTATATATTTCTCCAAAAACGAAATCGACCAAAGGGGGTCTCTCCAATATATTATGGTGTTGCATGGTACATGGTTTTCCCGCACGACTATAGCCTTTGCTAACTTGTTTTGTATCTATTATGTTTTTTTCTACACATTATTCAGCTGTACTTCAAATAATTTTAATTAAAAATATATTAAAAATATTAAAAATAAAAATATATCCCTCATAGAAAGCGATTTGGATAAAACTTCGCGTATATTAATTTTTATATCAGATTTTTAATATAAAGCGCCACAAAAAGATTTAAAAACAACAATCAATAGCGTCATAAACATTT